GTAGCGCAAGGTGGAACTTGTGATCTTGCCTGTTAGAGCAAATGTGATTAGTTCATGTGATCACAAATGTTCTCCATTGATTGGCTGCACTGACCCCCTGTGCTCAGCTCGGGTGTCCGTATTGGGAAAGCAAACACATTTGGCTCTTCGGAGAATTGGATCCTGGCCACGCTATCATTTATATAATTTTTCAATCTTTTGCAGTGGCATGGGCTGGATAAAGGTCAGTGTATAAAACAACCCCGCGAAAAATTGAATTCCCATCTCGAACAAACAAGGTCAGATGTGGACTCAATATTGAGCCATCAGAGTGATGTGTAAGAGCTCTTTATTAATACGCACGGCTATGCGGCGTCTAACTCGCGGGTAATTGAATTTGGCGTTGCAAAGTCACATCATGCCTTACGTGATGACGCGCGCAACAGGTCGTCCTTAGTTTCCGCTTCATCTTTTTCTGTCGTTGGGTTTTTTTTTAAATAACAAAGCACAGAGCAAGGGCGACCGGTGTCTGGACATAACACCTCCGGTTAGCTACGTACCGTGCGATAGAAGATCAACATAGATACAACCGGCTCAAACATACACAATGTGTAGGGGAAAACCAGGAGGACCCGCAGAAAAATCCACGCGACCACGGGGAAGAGGGTCATGCCAACTCCAAATATAATAAAGTGATGATGGGACAATAAGCCGAAACGATTGTCTGGCAACTCCGAACCACTTCTCATCCCAGAGACCCACAGACCCCCACCCACAAATTACCCCATCGTATGTATGCAACACTGCGTCCAGCAAAAGCCGGTATCTTTGTTTTACCAATACAGAAAAGCACAGAACAAGGACGACTGCCTTCCGGACAACACCTACGGTTGGCTATGTACGGCGCGAAAGAAGTTCAACATAGATACATGCGTACAACTGGCACAAACATGCACAACCACAATAGTCCCGATTTGCGATCTAGGAAACAAACAGAAACGCTTGGGAAAAGGAATGGGAGAGATATGGCAGAACAGAGAAAGAGAGAGAGAGACAGGAAAGGAGAGAGGTTATGGCCAAAAAGTACAACAGAATTGGCCGGCAGTGGCTACGCACGCCTGGGTTTGGTGGATCACACAACTGTTACGAAACTCGCATCCCGTGGGCGTCGAGACGTGGACTCCACATCTCCGTTCCATTGGTATGGGACAGAGTGTTGGCCCCGTCACGCGTGTGGGCTTGCCCCTGGTGTTCTAGATTCCTCCCACATGCAAAGACGAATTATTTGGCCGATCACACCTTAATATATAGAGGAACACAGAGCTTGGGCAAATGTCTTGGCGCCAGCTCATCGTGTGGCTGTCTTCCCGCTCGTCTGTGGTTCCTCCTCGCGCCTGTGTGAGTCCTCCGCTCCCGACGAGAGCGAGCGATCGCGAATCGGCGTGTTACAAGTTGACATCATTCGCCTGATCACTAATTCGGGAGTGCGTCGACAAAAAGCGACCAAATTTACCACTGGGCCACTCGCCATCCCCAAGGTCCGACGCCTGGGGGTGTTCAAGAGTGGATGTCTCGTGCATTAGACTCGGCCGGCACTCAATTGTTGGGCAGTTCACAAGTCTTCTATTGCCTCTGTGGTCGTGAGAGTGTTAGGGCACTAAAAGCGATGCGTGTAATGGTCGATCGTGCAAAGCCGAAATCAATGTGGGGACGACGGCCAAGTGGGCGTGTGTGCGAATTGCAGGCACCACGGATATCCCAAATAAAATATTGATAAAATGTGGTAATGTCCTCGTCCAAGGTTTGTGGCTTTTGGGCTTAGCCAAAAACCTCGACTCAGAAACAACCTGAATATTTTGGTCTGAAGAGTCGGGGCAGTACGGCGTGTCCTGTTGTATGAGGATGGGGTGGGGGTGGATGGATGGTTTGGGGTGCGGGGTGCGGGGGGTGGATGGGGTGGAGGGATGGGGGGGATGGAGGAGGATGGGGTGGGAGTGGATGTTTGGGGAGGGGTCTGGGGGTGGAGGGATGGAGGGGGCGTGGTGGAGGGGTGGAGAGATGGATGGGGTGGGGGGTGGGGTGTGGGGGGTGGATGGGGTGGAGGGGGTGGAGGTTTGGGGGAGTGGAGGGGTGGAGGGAGCGTCCCTGCAAATGAGATGAAATAGATTTATGTATCCTGGCGGATCTATAGGGCGTAAAGAAATGCTCAATAAAAATTGGTTTATATTATATATATACATACTCCTCATGTGGCCAATAAAGCCATTGCCAAATTCCATTTTAATATATTTCGCTCCGAAAAATTATTAAATTGCGTGTTAAACGCGATTGTACAATGCCAGTTAAATTGAAGTGCTCCCTGGTCGCCACGCCTGTTCACGCTACCGTTGCGTTGAACGTCACGCAACAGGTTCATGTGTGTACGCCACTAACGACCACGTGTGCACACACAAAGTTGTTGGTGTGTATGTGTATGCGGTGCTGTAGCGGTGAGCTCATTGTGCCGCACACACGGCGGCTAGGGTTCGATTCCCGCTCATGGCCAACAGCTGTGACGATCAATTATCTGATTCGGTCCTGGGCCTCACCTCGGTCAACTCAAACCTCAAACGAGTACCCGGTGCGGTGTGTAATAATCATCGCCACTCGGGAGACAAAGGCGGCCAGGCGTGGTGCTGTCCAACCTCTCCTCCCCGCTGTGTACCGTGCCGGCCTTCATAAGTGCTCGCTAACAGCACTTGCCCCAAAAGTCTGCGAAGGCTGTACGGGACATCTTTGTCCTTGTACTCGTGTCTTGAAATGTACATTGCGTGTCTTGGCCAGTTTCCGTGACAACTTTATCTCGTCTAAACTACAAAGTGGTTTCCACTGTCACGACCACCTAGCGTCAGCGGAGAATCCTGGCAGGGATAAAACATAAATATAAATAAAGTGTCCCCTCGTGAGCAAAGGCACCGTCAGATTTCTTCCAGTGTCCAGCTTAATGATCGTCAATCTCCTGCCCCCGAAGAAAGACGTCTCTCCTTCGCGGCGGCAGTTACATTGCTGCTTCGCACAATCCCCGCTGTGATTTTGGAGCCCTCTGAACTGGCTAATGGCTCGATGAAATGTAAATACTGTGGGCAATTTACAACGGGGTTGAGGTGGTCACATGTACTGCATTGTGGTGGGGTGGGGGGAGGGTGATTGGGACCTTTGTGCACAGCAGGAGGTGACTTGAGGCTTGAACCCAGGTCCTCAAAGTGTGCTGCTTCATTGGCCCTGACATTGACACCAGTCCCCCCCCCACCTCCCCGAGTCACGTGTGGCCCCTTGCGACACAAAAACAAACTATACCGTACATTTAAAATAGAGGGGGGATATGCTCCCCATATATGTATTTCAGTTTGTGCGCAAACAAATTGAGTGAAAGCAACAATGCTGAAACGTAGATTGAACGTCTAAGCCAAGAGAGGTGAAGATTGCATTTGGGCGGAGGAGCAACGGGGTGGGGGAGGGGGGGATATGGTTGGAAGAAGGTTTCAGAGCCGTACGTTTAGATTTGGATGATATTTATTTCAGCAGGAAGGGTCCAGTGAGCTGTTAGGCTCTATTTTACGGTACCGATGGCTCTACACGGTAGGGATCTTTAGTTACAATCATGGTGACAATTGGTCGCGACACCACAAAAAATAAGTGTCGGTACGTGCTTTTGCATGTTACAAGAATAGGGGAGTAGTATATTTAAAAAAACATTATTAAAAGGTTATTCTACTCGAACAAAAAATAAAGAAATAAAATAATCTGTCATTTTATTAAGCAACACAGTCAGTAACCGGGAACTTTAAAGTCTTATCCACACGGACTCGGGCTAACGCCTCTCAGCCGATGAAATTCTTTACTGCAGCGATTGTCTTTGAAGGAACCTGAGTTTCAGGAGTGAATGGAGGTCACTCGCCGTTGGCAACGATTGGATTCCCAAATTTCAATGCGGCAGCAGCCACCGAGCAGGAAATGTTCGTGATGTGTTATAGGTGATAAGAGCGGCGCTTGCCCTAGGTTTGCACAAGCATGCAGGGTGGTAGCGCAGTGATTAGCACCATTACACGCAGCCAAAATACGTTGATCCATGTCGCCGTGGAAATTAAATGTTGAAGATGCTGTGTGACATCAGATACCATGGGATGGCTTTTGTTTTCGAGTGCCATAGGTGGTCAGATCAATCTTAGAAGTATCTACGACTATATTATAACAACAACCCAACCACTGTTCCCCTGTCATAGCGATCGAGCCACTCAATATCTGGCAAATGGAAGAAACGAAACACAGAGTCCATCGATACAACAATTGTTCTCATGCCAACCCTCATCGAATTTCTGGTTGTTTTCAATGCGCTCCACTTTAAAATTCAGTCTTTCAACAATAACACAGTCAATATCTCTATACCTAATTTTTCCCCCCCCATGAACAAGGACCATTTACCCAATAAATGTTAATAGTATGTTGCAGTTAAATGCCCGCTGTTTATAAGGCACTTTTTTATCAATCGGAATTAAGTTACGTTTTTTTCAACGTACCGGGGTTCGCGTTTTGCCGCAATAAAAAAACAAACTCGGCACCAAAGGGGGGGGGGGGGGGAGCGAGCACTTCTGGCCAATGCCTCGCCGGGTAATCCTCCAGGCAGGTGTGACGAAGCAAGCGTTGAACGACACGTGACCTTGAACCCAGTCGGAAGGGGAGGCACTCATCACCGTTTACCGGAGATGTTCTCGAGATGGCGCTGAATTACGGTGGGTTTTTTTTGTTGAAGATTTGCTGGTCTATCCAGGATGTTTCTGTTGCACGTCGTAGCTTTAAGATGTTCTCTGTTCATATTTTTGTTTGTTGCGGTTGCACCCGACTCAAGAGCCGCATGGCTCACAGGGCTACTCCTAATAAATGAAACTTGAAACTTGAGCAGTGCGTACTTACAAGCCGTGAACGATGAACGTTGTACCTATTGGGTCAGCTTCACCCTTTCCCATTTCGATGTACGTCATCAGAAACCGACTCGGAAGGAAATGGCCCTGCCGGAGGTCGCGTGTGGCACAGAGTTTGGCGCCAGCGAGCGTAAAGTGCGATCGTGTCGCTACAGTTCTCCGCGGTGAGTACAACGCATTTCAAAACAGTGGCACGCCTTGCATGCAGGGATTGCGCTTTACGCAGTTCTGGGATTCGGTGATGAATGGTGGGGGGGGGGTGACGCCCATCACCCCCGTGACGTGCAGAACAGCAGGAATGCGACTATGGCATTGTTGTGTTTCCAACCTCTGGGAATCCAGTGCGCAATGCGCGGTGTGCGCGAAACTCGGGGTGCTCTTTCGAGATAGGCCTCACCGGCAGCGCTTGACACGAAGGTCACACGCGACGTGTGGGACATTTCCTCTTCTTCTCGTGGCCGGGATCCCTTTCATTAATCTATAAATACGTTTAGGGCTACACTCACTTCAGGCGTACAGACCGGTTCGCTTGCCAAAGTGCTTCTTTACGGAACAAATCTGCGGACTTGGTCAACCTACAAGCAACGTCACACCGTCACGAGGGCTTCATATTTCATCTTCTTGGTTCTTTCAGTAAAGTCACGTAGAATGGAAATAATGAAATAATAAAAATAAAACATAATCAAATAATTCTCACGACGGTTTGGCCACAACGCAAGCAGCCGTCCTCAGGTGAAGAACAGGTCTGTCGAGAAGACAGAGTCTGAATGACACACCCCAGGCTTGGAGCGTCTCTTTAAGCTGGGTCGGAGGGGGGGGAGAGCGCCTTGACAAAATAATTTGCATATCAAGATGAATTTAGCATATTTATGGAAAATGCAGATATGCGATTAGTACTACTTGTGAAATGCGTAGGAGGTGGGCGGGGGGTTTTCAAAGTCATATTATGCCCGTGCATTATGCAGGATTAGCAGCATCAAAGGGAGGGGATAGGGGTAGCATTAATAAAGGGAAGGAATGTTAATAGTATGTATGGATGGCTTCATAGTTGCCCAGTCGTAGCTGGGCCATCTTTATGACGCTGCGCACGAGGACGTGACGTTTGTCTGAACACCTCTGGTGCACGAAACGTACTCCGAGCAATTATCGCGGCACCGCTCGACATAAGAAATAGAATTCTACACCAGCTGCAAGCCAGCCAACTGGAATGACTAATTTCGCAATCTTCTCCTTCGTCTTGTGTTTTTTTCAGTCTCAAGCTGCGGGAACACAGAGGCACTTTAAAACTCGAAACTCAACATGCGGGACAGCGTGTCTCAGGCCGCGGAGTACGTGAATGATTGTGTAGGCACACGCGCGCGCGCGCGCACACAAGGGGAAACGCACATCGCTGTAATGAAAAGTGCCCGTTGAAAGTCAGAGTCTGCCGAAAGACACGATTATAGATTGCAGCAAGGACATGCATTATGTTTGTTGATTAACTGTGGATAACCCAACGAATAATAGAGTTCCATTGTAATGTATATGACTACATTAACACCACCCCACCCCCGCCTCTGGGTTTCTCACCTGACTGGCTCACAAGTGACGACATTTATCGCCTCTATTTAAGACCGAAACAGGAGGAATTGTGGCAGTCGCCTGATGATGCCGGTTGTTGTAATCACCGGCGAAACGTCATAGTACTCGGATGGTAAATGTAGTGGGTTTACTCTCCAACACGCCGGTTAGTGCTGAAGCAGTAACAAATTGCACGTTTTGTTTACGTGGCAAACCCTACTAATTGGCTGTGTCGGGTGGTGGCGGATTTAACAACACATTTATATTTACGCGATCTAACCCAAAGAAACCTCTATTGTGATTAAAAATCTTAGCTTAGCTGCATCACTGCGTGCATAATCCCCACACACGAACAGGGATAACATTCAAAGCCTGCATCAAGTGTACGCACGTGTGAATGTTGAACCTCTTTCGCGCCGTACTTCGGCAGTTGTGCTAATCGGAGGTGCGGGACACTTAGTAGCTGCTTACTTGTGGTACTGCCTTCAATAAAGGTGCCCCCCGGTCTGCTGCAAGCAAGGGTACCACCTAGCCATGGTCCATTGTCCGGGGCCGTGAGACGACTCTGCACTGCAGAGGGCAAGGGTCGGCATGATCCGTCCTCCCGCAACGGCGAGCACCGACTGTCGACCGAACCAACAATTTGCAAGTTGACACCTGCGGCTCCGTCAAAGGGTAGTGGAGAATGAGCGCCTCTCTCCTAGCCCCGTTACAGAGGCAGGCCGCAAGCAAGCGGCGCCACGGTGGCTAGGAGATGTTAACCTCCTCACCTTGTATGCAGGAGGGCGTGGGTTTGATCCCGACCCTGACGCCTGCTTAATATTTGGAGTGTGCGTGTTCTCCCCGTGGTCACGTGGGTTTTATTCTGGGTCCTCCGGTTTTTCCCTCCACATTTAGAATGAACGTGCATTCAGAGTATTTGGCTACTGCTATATATTTCCAAGTGATAAGCCACCTTGTTAAGCTATCATTTGTGGCCAGGTCGCTTCTGAAAAAGAGTTACATAGCTCAGTGGGTCTTACCTGGTAAAAAAATAAAATAGTATATATGCCCCGAACACTTCGTTCTGACACCGAGACGTTTTGTGGCACTGCATGTTCCGTTTTTCACATTGGTGCTCTCTGACCCCAGGGCACAGATGCCCCGCCCACTTCGTTGCACCGCCGGAGTGCTTGTGCCACGCCCATTTTTTAACCTTTATAAACGGTTGCCTTTGGTGACCTTTCCCCTCTTTCCTCCTGAAGACGGTCGCTTGTGTTGTGATCGAAACGTCGTGGTTTTTATATTTTTTACCAAAAGAACCAAGAATAAGTCTACATTATAGACTGCCAGTACGCTCACTCAGGTTAAGAACCAGGCTACAGTCTACATTATAGACTGCCAGTATTCTCACTCAATTTAATAACCATTGCTACAGTCTACATTATAGACTGCCAATACGCTCACCAAGCTTTAAAAACCAGACTACAGTCTACATTGTAGACTGTCAGTTCACTTACCGAGGTTAAGAACCAGGCTACAGTCTACATTAGTGTTTTTGTTTTTATTACTTTTTTTAATTCACTTTTATTTTTTATTATTATTTTTATATCTACGTGACTTTACCGAAAGAAACAAAGAATAAAAATAGTAATCGTTTAGTAAATAGTATGCACGATTTCCAGAGAAATGTGCACCGAAAATGTTTACTTATATTTATTTAAATAAACTTGAATATCTGTCAGCCCCTTTGTCGATGTATTGCTCATTGAAGGACTCCCCCCCCCCCCCCCCCCCCCCCCCCATTGCGTGTCAGTCGTGGCTGTTTTATGGGGGATTTGACAACACTTTTCCACGCTGGTCAGGTTGGCGAAGGATGAGGGGGTGGAGAGATGGGGCCGGACTACTCATATTAGCCAGGTTCAGGAACTGCTGTGAAACACTGTGACATCCCTGCACGAATATAGATATGAAGAGTTGCGCATATTAAGCTTATGACCAGTCCCTGCTCAACATGAAACATACTGAATGTATGCGGAGTGTCGCGGAAGAGATCGGAGAGCTACCCTTCGTTCCGTGACAATTTTCAGAATTAATTTGACACCGACCCCTTGACCTTAAAACCCCATGCAGCTGAGAATTAATCCAAGCCAATTATGGTCGTGTGATGGTCCGAGAGTTAAAACACTCTGTGTAGGGGATTGGCCAAAGGGGTTCAAATTAAATCGTTGGAGAAGAGACATAAACTGCAGAAATGACGGCAATAGTGAGCTCTGTGACATTGTGCTTTGGCCTTTTCACCTAAAAACCAATTATCTATGCAAGAGATTGCAGAGCTAAGAATCGTGAAGGGGGTGGCCGTGCAATTGTGGCCTGCGTCAGGCACTCGGGCAACCGGGCAGCAGAGGAAGGACTTATTTCACGTAACCGTCTAAAGATGATCCAAATAATTAACAACGACGTAAGGTAGAGTAATCCTTAAAACATTTCCACTTTAATAAATGTCAGCGCTAATAATTCAACGCAATGCAGCGTTGCGCGCATCCGTGCACTCGGAGATGAAGATTGCCATGGATGAAATGAATTTCCCAGCAGTGAATGTTACATTGTATGTATGCTGAACTTATTTCGCACCATACGTAGTCAACCTTGCTGATCGGAGGTGCGATTTAACGCGCTACGCTAGAGGCAAATAGCATGCGGCTTGTGTGAACCCTGAGTGTCGCGTTTCACTTGATAGTAAGTTACATCAGGTGACCTGTAATGGCGGATATCAGAACTATGAGCTACACCAACTGAGATCCTCGCTTTTGACTCTTAGTTAAGTCACCACATGGTTAAATAAGGTTTACAAATATATCGGGATCAGAGTATTTGTTTTATGCCGGAGCAATCCGATGAGGTTCCTTTTCACAGATGATAGCACTGACGAAATACACACGTAATTGGCAAGCTATAGGTCTAGGGTTCTATTCTGTTTACACAATTTCTGAGCAAAAGTCAAAAAGGCGGTCAGCAACAAAAAGCACCATCAACGTTGTAAAAAAAATAAGAGTCTAAAGAACGACTTTGAATATATCAATGTTATAATAGCTTGGGAAAAAAAGAAGGGCATTTATAATTGGAGCAGTGCAAAGGGAGGAAGCAAGAAGAGAGAGGTTTCGTGACCTGCAGCGTGATGGTTGAACACAGTATGTGAATGTGATGTTATGCACAATCACAGCACACGAGGTTTGACTTCTATGCGAGCTTTCCTGGGTGGCAAAATGTGAACTCCCTCACTTCGCATGCAGGAGGTTGTGGGTTCTATGCCGACCCTGACACCTGTATATTCGGAGTTTGCATGGTTTTTTGTAGTCGCGTGGGATTTCCTGCGGGTCCTCTGGTTTTTACCTCCACATCTAGAAACACGTGCTTATAATGCTTGGCTGCTATAAATTTCTACATGATAAGCCACTTCGTAGAGCTATTATTTGTGGCCAGGTCGCTTCTGAAAAGGAGCCACATAGCTCAGTGATCCTGACCTGGTGAAATAAAAAATAGTTTTTTTGTTATTTTGTTTTAGCATGATCTAAAAGGACAACTATAATATTTATTTCAGGCGGTTGAGCCCAGATGATTGCGTCAGGAATAGTGGAGTGAATTTCCACGCGATGGACACTTTCTGCAGGGTACGTACGGGTGTGTGGTCGAGTTGGACGGACGCCAAACGCAGTTCCCCAAATTCTTAAAGTGGTTCTGCAATTTCTACTTCTGGGGGGCGGTTTCTGTCACGTGCGTTGTTAGCATTCCAATTAGAATTGTGATTTTCTTCAGACGTTACACCAATAGAAGAAATGGCACGTAATAGGGGTGTTTTTTATGTTTAAATATATATTTTTAAACTCAGTTCTACAAGGATATTTTAATGAGTTCTTGTAGCAGTCACACATTCAAACTTTTTTTACAAATTGCTAAAATATTTAACAAGCAAATACAAATTTTAAGCTCCGGTGCTGCTTTACGGAAAGCAAGGGTGACAAAAAGAACAAATAAACATCACAAGAACAATTGGCATGAAAAAAATGTTGCCTTGCCATGACGGGTAATGTAACAAACTCATTCAACCACATGCCACATTGAAGCGAACATTTGCAAAGACACGTGGATTAAAATGGAAACGAACAGGCGTATGATTATTGACATTAAACACCTCAAAACCGTCATCATTACTACCCTCTCAAAACAAGAAGGTATGTTTTGGGCTAATGTATCGTTGTGGGGAGAATATCCTTTCCTCGTAGTTACAGACAGCTTCATATTTAGACTCATAATTAGAGACACACCATTTTACAATGTGTTTTTACCGACATACACCGGTACATTTTTAGATGCCATTGATATGTGTAGAGTCGTTGCATAACTACAACAAAGTTTTTTTTTGGATTAGATCGCGTAAAATATAAATGTGGCGTTAAACCCACCACCACCCGACAGAGCCAATCGGTAGGGCCTGTCACGTGAACAAAACGTGCCAAATCGTTGCTAGTACAGCAACACTGCTGTGTTGTTCGCCAACACACTGGTGTGTTAGCGAGCGAACCCACCACATGACGCTCCCAGAATTAAATGTCATATTTCGCCACTCGTCCCTGGACGCGAGCACACGAAGGGGAGAGTGAAACGGCTAATAACCGCCCCAATCACCAGTCTCTCTTTCGCAAAAGGGCCGCTGGTCACACACGCCTGATAGCAATCAGCGGGCAGGCGAGTCTGGCCGTCGCGAATACAGAACAAGCGCGTGTGTTCATATTCTTTGGGTCTTTCGGTAAAGTCACGCAGATAGGTTCAAATTAATACAAAATAAAAAGAACAAAAAACTACGACGTTTCGATCGCAACACAAGCGATCGTCATCAGCAGTAGGAGAAAATCCGATCTTACATTAACATGCTAATTTTTCACATTAACGTCACTAACCCCACCCACTTCGTTTATGAGCCGTGGGCTATACCCATTGTAAACCTTTAAAGACAGCCTGCCTTCAGCAGCTTTCCCCCTGTTTTTACCCCTGATGACGATCGCTTGTGTTGTGATCGAAACGTCGTAGTTATTTGTTAATTTTATTTATGCTAATTTGAACCTATCTACGTGACTTTACCGAAAGACCCAAAGAGTATGAATTCCTGCAGTCACGAAAGCTTTAAGTGACGATTCAAGCGCGGGTGTGTGCATAACTCACAGCTAACAGCGCCAGCCGTGGTGCACGAGGGATGGCACGTTGGCGTGTGGGGTGGTTGGGAGATGAGATCAGCGGCAGTGGCGAGAGCAGGAGGAGTGCTGCAAGGTGTTTGCCTGGGAGAGGTGGAAAGGGAGAGGCAGAACGGGGCTTCTAGGAAAAGCGCGACGGGCGAGAAAAAAGAACGCGCATCCGGAACGACCCTACACGTGAAAAATATTCTACGCGCCTCGAACGGACGTGTGTAGATGCAATGATGACCGCATTTATTGTTTTGCATGAGGTAGAAAGGCACCGACTTAAAATGTCACCGTTGGAAGCAAATGTGCAAGCGTGTTAAATTTTACGTACAAAATGCGAATGCCGTGCACTCTGGGAAGAAAACAATGTCATCGTTGAGGATAAACAAGGCCCGGTTGTGTGGATGGAGGTTGGCTTCTCTTTTAATCACCAACGTTGCTTTCACGCCTTCGTCGCTTTCCGCTTGTGCTTGTTAAGCAGTGCCAATATTTTATTCCAAGTCATATACTTTATTAAGCTGGCCCTTAATGATGAAATATTTTAATTAAAATGCATGAAATTGAAACCCCTGGCCTACGCCTGTACAAGTGGCTGTCGCTAATCTAGAGTTGGCGTGTCACACACATGTGATGATGGTTGTAGTAATAATAATGATAATACTTTCATTTTATGTAGCGTCATTAATGCCAACAGCATCCCACAATGCTGTACATTAATTATATATATAAGGACCAAATCCCATACACCCGGTTGGTTATGCGCGGCGCGAAAGAAGCCCAACACACACACAAGCAGACCGAGCAAGTGAAAACCCTGCTACTACCAAACAGAATACAAACCACTACACTACAATGCGTTACGCTTCCACATGCGCGGGTCACATGACAGATGTGACCTCACAGCTCACTTGCCGTGGAAAAAATATAAGCATTATTAAGCCCCCCCCCCCCCCCCCTCAAAAAAGTGTATTTTTATAATTTTTGCATGGTGTACAGTTTGGAAAGTACCCACATGGCAAATTTCGAGTTTGTTGCATGTCGGGAAGTAGGCTAAACATTTTGAACAGACACGCATATTCACAACTTTGCCTTTTATATATATGGAGATTACACAAATGATATGAACGTCAAATGCTCCCGTTGTGTTACATTCCGACTAATGGTACGAATAGAAGTGCACAAACAATGGAGGAGGGAAATGAGACGCAAAGGGCTGCATGGTGAACACGAGACGAAGGTCCATTCTAGAACTCAATTGCGACCCTGAATGGCAAACAAGTATAACCCGTAAAAACAAAGTTTTTCACTCTAAATCCTTTATATGCGTGGCGGCTAGAGTCCTCTCGTCCTCTGGCTTGAGATGGCTGCCACCTATGGGTCAGATGATTGTCTGCAGTATTAAACAATTGGTAATTAAATATTTA